CAGCGACATATCCGTCTTTGGCCGAGTCGCTCTTCCAACGACCATGACGTTTCCAACACCTGTCGCTTACATTTGAATTCGCTACTTTTGTAGCACCACTAGCTCTCAGTGAATGCAACCCAATATTCAAATTTTTACAAACTTCTTTCAAACGATTGACAATACATTCTCTAGCCCTAGTGTAACTAAGTGGTTTATTTTTATATATCAAACTATAATATCTGCCTGATCTAAAAAGAGGTCTAAATATGAATTCATTTGAAAAACTGATATTAGCTAAATTCAAATACTGTTGAAGTAAAAGAAAAGGACATGCTGCGGATTGACCTTTAGCAATAACTACAGAGTCACCTAATCTGTATTGATCGGTTTTACTCTTTTCTATAGTAATATTTATATGTGATTCACAAAATTTAACATCTTTGTATTTTATATTACTGATTTCACTAAATCGTAAAAAACCAGAGTAACCAAGCACTATCATAACTAAATCTCTTATTACACCTATGTCCTCACTATAAGTATATTTTTCACATAGCTTAACTATATCAGCTGAGTCAATAATATCTTTCTTAACTTTTGGACTATGCTCTTGTCTTTTTGAGGATTCTAACAAATTTTTTGCGAAATTATTATCTGTTGGATCATCTAAATTGTTTATATTATGCGCCCATTTAATAGCGTAAAAAGCAGTTTGTAAAACACTGTGCGAAGAACCATTGTCTAAAAGTTTGGTTAGATACAATGACACGTGAATAGGTTCTGCTGGAATTGCCACTCCGCCTTCAGAAACGATGAATTTCTCGAATCTCCGAAAAGCACCATGATATAATTTAGTTGTATTGTCACTTCTAGAATGTAATAGAAAATGTACCATTCGATTGGCTAAAGTTGAAAAGTTATCTGACGTCACACCAGCTGCTAAAATCTCGTCTTCTATTGTTTGTCCTAGTTGAATCCCTGTCAAAATACATTAAATCAATAAATATCTATTTCGATTCATAAAATAATTTTTGTTGTAAGTATTTTAATTTGTTTCAGTCAAATGCACATGTGTTTTTTTATAAATTAAAAACAAATTTTTAATGCGATCATGTCAAATACAGATTTGTACATTCCAAAAATTCCGTTTTTTCCTCTTCCTCGTAAAATATGATTTGAGGAAAAACTTTCCGACTCTACAATAAAAGTTTTCAGTTTCCCCTCCCCCCCATTCACAAAGACTCCTAGTTCTCAATCTAACCAAACTACTCATAGCTGCTTGCATAGAAATTATCTGACCCATTAATGAAGCCACTAACCTCGCTTTAAATAAATAGTTTCCTGAAGATATTTTCTCGATAAAGTGTTTTAAAAAATTTCTCAGTTTATCTAAACGTTCAGGAGACGCATAAATCTTACCAACACACATGTCCCATATTAAACCTAACCATGTAACTGTCTGAGAAGGTTGCCAGTTGCATTTTTGTTCTGCTATAAGAAATCCAAACATTTGCAATTCTGTGTGCACTTGATTACTTATCTCTAATGCTTTCTCATAATTTTCCGCTCCACCTATGCCATCATCTAAATACATAATGATTTTCATACCCTTTTGTCTTAAATACTGTACTACCGGTCTAGTAACTTTAGTGAAAATGTAACCGGCTGTTGAAATACCAAATAGCAATACATTAAAAACATAATAGGAAATTTTACCTGAAATTTCCCATGCAAATCCAAGATATGTTTTATGTTCAGCAAATATTTCAATATGGTGATATGCAGACTTCAAATCATATGAAAACAGATAATCTTGCTTGTTAAACAAATTCGATGCATCACTTGCATCTTCATATTTAAATCTAAATTTATGCAAGTGCGGATTTATATGCCTAGCATCTAAAACTAATCTCAACTTATTTTTATTTTTAGCTACTGTCAAAGGATTTACTACTTTTGATATGAGATCTACTTTTGATTCACAACCTTAACTTATTAATTGGTCTATCTCACTCTGTACAAATTCAGGATTATCTAATGCCGATCTGTTGTTTTTTAGTGAACAATTGCTAGGTACAGTGTAAAATGGTAGTTTATACCCGTTCTTGATAACATCAAATACTTGTTCATTAGCACCTGATTTCGTCCAATGATTAAAAGCCCTTTTAACATGCCTATTGGCGATCTATTATCTACTTGTTTACTTTTCGATATGTTGTTTTCGTTATGAAAACTAGACTTGTTTAAAAAATCATACGTTATATTTTCAGAATCGGAAATACCGAATTCTTCAAAATCTTGAAAACCTGATAAATATTCAAAATCAATACTTATCTTATCAAAGTTCTGCTTCATTGACATTGCAGCATGATCTTTACGCCAATGACCTGGTTTTCCACACTCGTAGCATTTCCCTGGTCTGTGTACAGGTAATGATATCTGAACAGGTATGGGTGCACTCGATCTGGTTGATGTGGGGTGCGAAATGGGGGCAAATCTACTCTTCTTTGTCTTTCTCTCTGCCTTCATTTTCTGTGCAGCTCTTACATCAGCTCTGCGTATTCTTTTCTCGTCTTCGGAATTATCCGCTAGACTATTCGTCTGGTATTCCTCTACCGTCTTCCACCCGCTTTCTGACTGATCAGCCATCTTCACAAGTTTTTGCCTATGTGTTAGCAAATCAATACCTTCACCAATTCGTTGGGTTGCTGAGTTTATCTGTTCGTTCTGCATTGGACTGCCTTGTAAGTTAGATTGGGCTTCTTTCATCTTCTTGATGATTTTGGTGTTGATCTTATGTTGTTCTTTATTACCCTTCCGTTTGAACTCGTAATTGTCTGTTGTCAGTTCTTCGATTTTTGCAATTTGGCTATCGGAGAGCTGTCTCTGGGATTCTGTAGGAGTCTGTACAGCATTATGAACCTCGTTTGCTATTAACTGTTTAATCGCCGGCTCGTCCATTTTGTTGTTTACTATCGAACGTCCACGGCTAGAATGAAGACCTTAACACAAGACAATACATTTGGCGCCAAACCATAAGAAACTTGACCATTGGTCATTTTTAACACGTGACTACACTTAGTATTGATGAACCGTACAATACATTATTTTTCTACTATACTACGAAACACAGAAAAATATACATATGTACCATGATTGTAATCTTGTATTCACGCCGGACGCGCGTTTCGTCTACAAAATACTCATCAATGACGCTCGAATCAAAAAGAGTTTAAAAGGCCGAATAAAGTACGAAGTATGAAGTATAAAGTATGATATACCGATTGAAAACCAAGAATATCATAGAGCGTTTGTTTGTAAATGCTGTGAAGCGACAAATAAAACCAAACTTTGTCGTGTACAGCTGTCAGAGAAGCAACAGTTAGCATCAAAGAGCCTTCCAGGACTAGGCTAATCAGTTTGAATATTGAGAAATCGGAAGATGTGCGACATACACTGACAAAACAATTTTTATTGGGACTGTGGTATATTCAGAAACAAGAATACAGACACATCGAAACATATATTTCAACACAAAAAAACTAAGAGAAGGTCGTCCCTTCTCAAGAACTACATCACAGACCAATGAAAATAAGAATCATATTGACAGAAATAAAATCTCTAATCACACATACATTCATCTCAGTTGATACGAGATTCCGGAGCACGTATTTGATATCATGATTTCCTTGGTAGAGTTTTGCTATTGAACATAGAGTTCCAAGTAGTAAAATTAAAATCATCCATTCGAAAGTTTCAAGGACGCCATCACGAGGTGGTTGACTGTCATGGAGTATCTGTGTCACAGATGACCATTGATATGTTCCAATTTTCGTATCACCACCCTGTATTTTATCCCTCGATTGCAATATCACTAAATGAACCTTATTATCAGATTTGTAAATGATCAACACGACATGTGACACATGTGAAGCAGAATCAGCTTACTCTTGTGTCGTTTTTCTATTTCCATTTAGCATTCAACATATACTAAATAGATTTAAGCATATGCTTAAATCATTCAAGTGTATGCTTAATTCATTTTAGCATATGCTAAAATCAATTCAATATATGCTGAATTATTACGCTTATACAGAAATGTTGGCGCGGAATCAAGGTCATAATTATTTCATAAATTCATTTCAACATGTTTTAAAACTCATTACAGCATATGCTAAATTCATTTGAGCATATCTTTAATTCAATAAAGTATATACTAAATTGCTGAATGTAAAGAAAATATCATCCAATGAGTGCACCCATTACATAAGGGAGCAACCATTTAATTTCTATGGGAAGTCGGTAGGAAGGATTTTTAGATCTTTCAACGCCTTTGAGTTGAACTGACACGCCATCGACTTATTCTGGGTTCTTAACATCAGTGTTCAGTAAACGTATTGAATCCTGCACAATTCTGTTACACGTAGTCAAAAAAATGATATAAGAACGGGGGTCTCTGCAACGTCCTCTGTTAGACATTATAAATTTAAAGCATCGAAAATTCTCTGTTCATCAATTTAGTTGCGATATATTTAGAATAAGTAAAGACCGCATGTAGCAACTGTGCAACAAACGAGTTAGGAAACGAGCTTTTCATTGGAGAACACGATTAATTAGGCATATACTAAATTATAATTTCGCAAATGCTAAATTCATTTAAACATAAGCTTAATGCATTTAAGCATAAGCTAAATTCAGTTTAGCATAAGCTAAATGTATTTAGCATAAGCTTAAAGGAATTAAGTATATGCTAAAATGAACTTGGTAATTATAATCAAACATTCGAAGTTTAATAATAATGACAATGATTCCGGGCCAACATTTATTTTTAAGCTGAACAATTCAGCATATTTGCTAAATTGATTTTACTAAAATCATTTAAGGGTATGCTTTAATGATTTTAGCATATACAAAAATCAAATGAGCATATGCTTAAATCATGTAAGCATACCATTAAACAGTTAAAAGATATAAGAATATGCTAAGATCGATAATTATGACCCTGATTCTGCCCCATACTTATGTGTTTTACCTTAACAGGAAAATAAACAAATTATGATAAAGGTAGAGTAACACATCAGTTATTAAATTAAATACTCAGATTAAGCATACTGTTATCAATATATTGCTTTATTGTAGGCTATCCGCAACTCAACAATGGCGGATCCAGAACTTTTCATAAGGGGGGGGGGGGGGGGGGGGGGGGCCCGCTCCAGTCATGCTTCAGTGATTCCCTATATAAGCAACCAAATTTTTCCCACGAAAGGGGGGAACGGCCCCCCTATCCTCCCCCCCACCCCCTCCTGGATCCGCCTATGGCAAGGTTATTAATTTGAACATTATTTATGCTATGAACATTATTCTACTTTCGATATCAACCGCTTATATTGAGATTTATGGCTTTATCATAAAATTGCACTAGAGAGAACTTGCAATGACAATGAATAATAGTCATATAGAAGTCAGCTGATTGAGGTGAGGTAATCAATATGCTATTGGTGTCTTAATGAGCTTAACATGCCAGTGTTTATCTTTCTTAAAAGTATGTGATATTATTGTTTATATATTTTAAAACTAGACATTCCTTAGCTAGAACTATGGCACGCTTTATAAAGTATAGTGTAAAATGAAGATCGACTCACTCAAAATTAACACATCATTTATCATGTTTATTGCTAGGCAACAATTAGTATACTAGTAGCCTCCAACAATAATGAAATGATATAGTCCTCCAGTAGCCGTCTTTAGTCACGTTTGGTTTTTCAAAGAGCTAGAACAAGCACTTGCAAATAAAAATACATACCTGCACATGTATTTGTATATTGAAGTGACTGCTCAATTCTTTCCCAATATTTTGAACCTAGGTAGAAGAAATATCTTCTAGCTTGCTCGAGAGCAGACTAGACACCGTGCACTGTATCTTTGATTAGGAAGGAGAGCTGAAAGATCAACATTAAAGTGAGTTAGTTTTACTCAGTGAAATGAACGTGAATTGTAAAACTTTTATATTGCTGACATTCTATTACAGCTTCTGCTAGCTACGTGAAAAACTTATTATGGATACCAAACCAAAGGAATTAAAACCAGATCATGAACATTCCAATGAACTTTTCTCCAAAGCGATAGCACCTTTCAATAACAACGATTTAACAATTAAAACAAACCAAGGTACACTTCAAGCAAATAAGGAGCACCTTATGGCAGCATCTCCGGTTTTTCATAAAATGTTAACAGCAAATTTTAAAGAGAAGGGAGCTCGAGTTATCAATTTACCAGACAAGAGTCCTATCACATTTGCTCATTTTTTGCGGCACACATTGCCTGGATTCGATGGACTAGAGTTAACAGGTATGGAAATATTATATTGTATGATATTCAATGAAATTCGTGTCACAAGAAATGTCATTTTCTAGTTATTAAAAAGAAAAGAATGTCAATATCGAAAGCGAAATAAAGATGAACTATTTGGTTGACTGATTTGATCCACACAAAAAAAAATTCTTCTACAGGTAAATACGACGATAAACATTCTTTTAATATTCAATATGAAATTAAACAGACATAGAAAAATCCAATAAAACGTGATCGCTATTTGTTAATATTTATGTTTCGATTATATCAGCTTATATGACAGTCGGTCTTCGGAGGTCAATTCGTGGGTTAATAAGATGACGTCAAAACAAAAATACACACGAAATGTTAATACTTATTATCGAGTCCATTCATTGCTTATTGTTTATCGGTGAACATGAATTTGACAACTAATGCCCCTTAAGGTTATTAATCAATATTACATATGGTTTGATGTTTCTTGTGTCTCATTGGTTTATTTGGTCATGTGTTCCCCAATATACATTTTGTATATTTTCACTATTTTGACATATTGACTCGACATTAATATTTTTACTAATTATATTGATCGATATTGACTGCAGTTTACTAACAATAACTAAAAATAATAACAGGGAGTCAATATCATTTCCAAAAATAGTAACATAGAGTCAATATTATGTTTAAACTGAGCCAATTAATTATTTAGTACATTGAAAAATTAATCAAAGGTACCAGGCTTTTAATAATTAATATGAATATACCTTACTTATAGAGCCTCACTGAATATACATTGATTGTCAAAATGCGCATCTCGTATAGCAAAATTGGTATCGTTTATGCCATTGCATATTATATAAACAATTTTATTGGGTATACGACTATCACTTGATTGGAACTTATTTAGTTAAATTTCATTTGAATACAAGGAAGGAATAATAACCCTAAACATTTGCACGCTGCGATGAATAACCGTATTTTTACCGGTCGACCAATGACCTTATTATATACCGGCTGGTGAATATCTTTTTGAGCTTCTTTTGTAAACAAGTGCTTTCCTATAACAATGACGTCACAGACGTAAGTAAACAAAATGACCATTGAGTGACGATGAAACAAGATGAAACAAGGCTTGGAAATTCATCATTTTATGCCGTGGATAACGTCTTATCACACATTCTGACGTCGCTGATAAAATCTGCTAACGTCTCAAGTCGTGATTCGAGAATTACAAGGAGGCAAAGATATATATATATATATAAAGGCGAAAGAAGGACGATAAATAATTTAATTTTTTTATTTTCAGAAAACATCGCTCATCTCATTCTACCATTAGCGCACGAATATCAATGTAAGGATACTCTGTCAAAAGTTGACATGAAACTGGCAGATTACTGTGAAAAAAATAACCTACAATCTGTTCAGTTGATTAGTGATATTTTGGAAGCAGAATTTTACAATCTGCCAATCCTTTTGGAGGTTCCAATAGAAAAGGCGTCCAGAGAGACATTTAAAGGATTTGTAGATCATGTACAGTTTCAGAAAATATCAACCAACACCAAGGAAAAAATCTACCTGAAGAGATGGGAAAATCTTGACAATTTCATTAACGAAAAAATAATTAAACCGTACTTTAATCCTAACATCAAAGATATAAAAGAACAGATCGCCAAGCATATGGAATAAATTCGAGAGGTTAAAAATTTGCAACTTCGTGCTTAATTGCTGCCTTTTGACTAAAATTGTTATTGACAAATGTTCACATCCTTCTCCAGTAACCAAAAAAAATACTTTTCTAATATTAAAAAAAAAAACCACCATCAACTAATGTTGAATTTACATTATTTTAATTGATATTTGTAAGTATGTTCATTTGTTTTCTTCAGTTCGAGGTTTAATAAAATATATCTAAATTAATGAATAGAACTGTAACGGGAGTGAAGTTTCCACTGGCTTCGCAAGTTCGTTGTACCCGTTGCCTACCCAAGTTCTGGGATATTGGACAAACTATAAAACCATGTAAACATAAAGATGTTTATTTGAAAGACATATATGAATGAATATAATTTACATACAATAAATATACAGTGGTGGCTAGTCTACTTGTCATTGTAGTTCCTAAAGTGAGAGCCAAAAGATGAGCGTCTGCTCATTTCAAACTCTTAGTGTAGACTGCCCTGAACCCGGAGAGTGACGTCATACATATAGTTCCTAGGGACAACGATTCCGGCCGGGCCGGAAGTCAGGCACGTGCAAGAAGCAGGAAGTCCCGACAAAAATAATTACATGGTCGGTCTCGGGAGAAAGAGTTTCGGAGCTATTAATAATACTAACATTAACCCTAATAAATAAAGATCGGTGAGGTATACTTACCAAAATTTCGAATACAGATACATATAGTTATCAACAAATTAATTAATTTACTATTAATATCAATAAATAATTTGAAAAATAGTTCAAGATATTCAATGGTCTTTAACTAAATGTTCAAAAGTCACAAATACATCACAAGACATCATTACGGAGTAAGGAATCCGATTATAAAGTTCGATCAGAGCATCCAGGCACACATCTTGTCCAAGATTCCAGGTAGGTAAATAAGGTAAAAGTCGTCCAGTAGATTTTCAAAATCTGTTCAGTAGTCGAAGTAATAGTCCCAAACAGTTAATTCCATGATGTGGTTTATAGTTACGTTTAACTTATTGGCACAAAGGCCAATATAAAATCAAATATTTTCCCTAATTGTGGCCAGCTATCCACGTACTGAATCAATTTCAGTTTAATCTCCCATATTCTGTCAGACACTGGAATAATTAAGAAACACATTCTTCTTATAAAATCCTGACTCACCAAGAGTCTATAATAGTCTAAATACACAAGCACTGCACCACTTGATCGGGTGCCCCAATATGTAATTTTATACGTCACCGAAAGCATATAGCCCATGGTATTATTATAAACATATAAAACACACATTTCTATACTGAAATCCATACAAACTGATTGTTTGTTTATCAAATATATTTAAAAATTAGAAAGTCATATAAAACAATTGGCCTGTATAGAAAATCATTCCTTGTATTCCAATAATCCCCAAACAATATATATACTTAACCTTGCAGACAGCACACTCATGGTGAACCAATGCGGTCATAAAAATACATACGCAAAAAGACTAACCAATAGTCCATACCTATCCTAGTGCCATTCTCTAGCACATAAGGTATTTCCAAATTTGCTTGTATGTACCACCGAAAGCAGCGTCCCACAGCTAAAATACTGAGTGAACATTCTTCTATTTCGCAACAATCCAGCACAACTCGTACAAGACATTTCTATTCCAGCTATATGACAGAAATGTTATTTTAATCCAAATTCTCGCTATATCCACAATTTCTACATTTACTAACGCATTACTTATAGACTGAAAAGATTCAGTATAATTTCCCTCCACGTAACAATACCACCAAACTGAAATTAATTCAGTTTATTTCCAAAAGACCAAAGTAAAAAATAAACATCATGCTGATATTTTATAAATATAATCGAGTACAAAACTGTACTTTTAATCCATTTTCAAGATTAATATATAAACCGGACAAATTTCCAGTAATATAGAACCCATGAAAGCACAATAGAGCCTATGACTTACGGAACAAATTTTAAGTTTTGAATATTGGTGACTCCCTCCTTTCCAAGAAATCAAAATAAATGCTATTACATGAACACTGACAAGACATGATAAAGTAGATATGCATACAAAACTGCATGACAGAAATGCAAGTACAAAATATACTTTTTAATCTAAAACAACTTCAAGTATTATCAAACAAATTATTTGACTTTCCAAATCCAATTATGACAATAAATATCAATTAAACGGAACCAACAAATAAAACATCGTATTCATAATTAGAATGACAATGAGTATTCCACATTGGTACCTTCATACACACATTATTTAGATGTCGTGTGTTTTGACGTCGAAATTATGACGTCATTTTGTAAACATGGCGTAAAAAATCGCCAACTTGAAAATGAAAAGCCATACTAAGCTTTATACCTCGATAAAATACAGTTAAATATTTAATTTTGCTCCTGTGTACACGAGTACACACATGATGTGTTTGTTTTCCTGTTATGCAAGAATTGCATTTGTCCTCAGGTACGTGAACAAAATTTTCACCTTGTGCTCTAATTTGTAATTTTTCTTCTGTCTTTTTAGTTTCAATTTCTGAAGGCAAGTCGTTTTTAATTATCTTATTGTACAACACAATATTTAATGCAGTACTGGTCTTTGTATGACCGGTACAAACAACAGAAATTATGAGAAGACGAACAAAACATTGTTCGATTTTGACTCCTAGGGATTGAAAAATCTCTTTTATTCCAACCATATTGCTGAAACAATGTACAAACAAAACGTTTGTTTTAATGTTTGTCCTAAAATATCCCTCGGACGAGCCCCCAATGTAACGGGAGTGAAGTTTCTACAGGCTTCGCAAGTTCGTTGTTCCCGTTGTCTACCCAAGTTCTGGGATATTGAACAAACTATAAAACCATGTAAACATAAAGATGTTTATTTGAAAGACATATATGAATGAATATAATTTACATACAATAAATATACAGTGGTGGCTAGTCTACTTGTTATTGTAACAGTTCCTAAAGTGAAAGCCAAAAGATGAGCGTCTGCTCATTTCAAATCCTAAGTGTAGACTGCCCTGAACCCGGAGAGTGATGTTCCTAGGGACAATGATCCCGGCCGGGCCGGAAGTCAGGCACGTGCAAGAAGCAGGTTGTCCCGACAGGAATAATTACATGGCCGGTCTCGGGACTTACGGAACTATAAATAATACTAACATTAACCATCACCTTATATATGGAATGAACAAGCATACAAAGTGACCACCATTACAGAACAATAAAGTTTTGTTAAAAATTCAAAATGCTCATTAAGCCTTATTTATTACCCTAAACGCTTTTCATTCTTCAGAGCCAACGAATTTTTCTAAGATAAAATTTACATGTCGTATATCCTATTTTATAGGAATGCCAATATGACAAGGTATGATTTCCAATGAGACAACTTTCCACTAATGACCAAAATGTAGGAGATGTTAGCAACATATTACTATAGGTTACTCTACAGCAATCAACAATGAATAAAACCCATACAATATACATAGCATGGCATCATTCAAAACATAAAAACCAAGAAAAGCCTTGGTCTGAATTGAAAACAACAAACCGAAAATACATAAAATATACCGTAACAAATCGACAACTACTGGATTACAGACTCCTGACTTGAACAGACATAACATAATATAGAATGTGGCTGGGTTAAATACTTTTGCGGGCAACCAATACTGCTATCGTTCCTGCGACAAATGTGTAGCAGCACATAAAAATATAAACATAACCATTTATATACCACAAAATGATAAAAAAAAAACAACAACTATCATTTATTATTACTCCTGGCTACAAATGCATTGGTGTAAAAACTTTTCAACTAATCAAACACACATCGATGAAATAGTGAAGCATTGGTGTTTGTCAGGTTTTATGGACTTCCCATTTTTTATTTATTTTTCAATTTAGAGTTTTGTTTATACAATTTTTTCATGGATCATAGGTCAACGCTTATGTTTTTAAAGAAGGTCAGTTTGTCAAGATATTACGAGTATATTAATTGAATAGAATGATTGTGATAAACAGACACTATATAAACATTCTTGTTATTGCATTGAAAACAATATTTTGAGACTAAATTCATTTCTATATGTCCGGGTTTTTTCGAGAGCAGTCCGGATTTTTTCGATTGTGTCCGTGTTTTATCGAGTCATTATGAAAATTTCCTATAGTTTAAAATGTTATGTGTCAGTGTATTTACGCTTAAAACAATAAAAAAATAAGTTTCAAATTAAATACTTTTCAAAACACGATTCAATGCATACACGAGTTTGATAATGGTGTACTAACACTTTTACATTATATAAACAAGTATCGTTCATTTGTATATATTGTTTTTTGTCAGATCCTATGAATTACATGTACAATATATATTCGTGATGTCAACAATCTAATGTAAGCATAGACAATTTGGATTGAGACGTACATATATATAGTTTGTTAAGCTGATGAACTATTCATTTCATTTTTAATCATATATAAAATTTTATTGAAATTCTATTGTCAATCTGAATAAAAATGGGTCGGATTAAGTGTGTATGTTTTTTTGTTTTATTAAGACACTTTTTTGTGGGGGCGGAGAAAGGCCTCTTTTAGTAAAATCCTTATTATTTCATAGCACTTTTCTGATTCTTCACTGCTGTCCAGTATGTTTCTTACTCTTTTTTTGTAAACTCCGGGGTTCATCCCAACAATATTATTGACTGTTAAAACAAAAGTCGCATGAAATGAAGTTGAAAAGGTTATGAGTGCCCTACACTATGTTCTAAAGACTGCTTTATAAAGGATTAAATAATTTCTGATTTAACACTGGAAAGTTGTGGTAGAACGTTTTCCAAAAAGAAATTTTGCATTCAAATTAATCTTTGAGAGTTTTTTGCTTTAATCAAAGTTGTTTTCAACAAGCTATGCAATGAACCTTATACATCAAAATATTTGTATCTATATTGGCTAATTTCTTATGAACACATTTTTATTAATTATTTATATTTGACAATTTAGAATGAGGAAAAGACGTGCAAAGGATTGTAAGGTAATTTTTTCGTACTTTTGCATCAGGAAATGGATTATGATACAATGTACTTTATTATCACTTTTGAAATATTAAAGTATACACATCTGAATCATACCACCACTAGAGTGAGAATGAAGTTTCCATATCTTTAACTTGCTATAATATTAATATGGCCCCTTCCAAAATGTCCTAGTCACACTCACGT